GGAAAGAGTCTGAGGGAGCAGATTGTGCCCCTGCACATTTCAAGTGGTCATGGAGTCTCACAGCCTGAGCAGAGTCCAGCAGCATAGGCTTGAATCAACATCCTCACCATTCCCCTAGCATTAAAAAAAATGTTTGCTCCTGCTCTTCCTCTCTTTTGAACCATTGTGCTTCTTAGAAAGGATGGAAGGAAAGGAGGAGGAAAAGAGGATAATGATGTACCCTCACCACTCTCTTAGTACTAGTACTTGTCTTGGATCACTGTCCTAGTTTCCAGGACAGGAAAGGACAATCTACTGTAATGGAGAATGTATCACACAATGCATTATACTTGAGAAGTGTGGTGGGAAGGGATCTCCACTTACATGCCTTCCTCAGGCAAAATTCCCATTCACTAAAGTGAAAATGTTGCCTAAATAAGAATAGGGTCAGATCCTAATTCTGTAGCACAAAGATGGGCAGGTCCCACTTTTTTACTTGGAGACCCATACACATGTCAGAAGGCAGAATATGGTTCCACAGAGAGTTGCAATTTATGTTATATGGAACGCTTTTTCTTTCAGTCATGTCTCTGCTGTTGCTGTTACCAATCCAAAAGTCTAACGACTTCAGTACCAATGAATGGAACAAGCATTCAGTGGAAAAACCAAGAACTAAATAACCACAATACAGATCGAAGCAGCCATAAGGACAGCATAAACTGATACTGAAGGACACTGAGACTACTTCAGAATTCAGGAGGAAAAATGTCACATGAAAGCGGTTTAAACAGGACATCCACAGAGTGTTCCACAAAATGTACTTCATTCAGAAGTTCTTTGCCCTTCTACCTGATTTCAGAGGTGATTTCATGACTATGAATTTAAAGAACTGCAAATCTGTGGATCTTCTTGATCGTGTTAATGAAAATTACATTCATCATCTTATGAAAAATGCAAGACTCAGCACTATGCAGAGTGTTTGCAATCTTTGACCCAATCAAGAACTGCCCAGTGTATACCTGGTACCCAGAGATCTTTTTACTTGATGGCTGATTAGAATTAGTCACCATGGGATTTTCAGAATATGTCAAATGTGGAATCTGTGAGGTTATAGTTTATCTCTGTCCTTTTGCCACTTTCTTAAAAGGAAACATTTAAGCAAGTGATTAATATATTCTGTATAAAAGCATGTTTAGCATGAATTTCAAAAACTTTTATTTGGAAATGCCAGTCCACACCAGTATTTTATTTACTTAATTTTGCAAAATGAGACAATCCATTAGCTGGAAAATTAGCATTTCACTATTCAAAGATAGGAATAGCCCATCTAAAAATAGCACCAACGTTTGGCACTTACTTTCGGCATCAGTCTGTGCTATAAGGTATTATAATGTGCTATTTATTCTAACACCCTTTACATAGACACATATATTTTTCTATATCAGCAAAAGAGCAAACATTTGTAAAAAGGAATCTTGAATCACATTTATAATTAGCCAGTCATATTTAACTCCTAGGCCTGTTTATCTGCTTAGGTTTTTAATTGAAGTGGTGTGTGGCATTATCAATGAAACACAATAAACTGAAACTATTCTCGGAAGATAGTCACTAAATTTCAGCAATACTACTTACAAATTGTGACCTGAAGTTACAGTGCAAGTGAAGGCAAAACTCCTGTTGGAGTCCATAGGAGTTATGCATATATATAGTCTGAAGTGTGTGTGTGTGTGTGTGTGTGTGTGTGTGTGTGTGTGTGTGTGTGTGTGTGTGTGTGTGTGTGTGTGAGAGAGAGAGAGTGTGACGCTTACAAAGTTCAAACTTTTAAAATGAGTTTGATGTTTTATTGGGGTTATTAACCATATAAATGCAGTTGACAATATAATGTATAGAAATTATTGCTTGCATATATGTAAACGTGATAAAACTTTCTCTTCATTATTGTCAACTTTTTGGTTACATGGCTTGAAAAGCATCGTCTGGCTGTTAAAATGCTACCCACTCAGCAAATGTACTAAATAGAGGAATGAAATATAGCTCCATCATATATAATGTGCCTGCTGCAAAAATCTTCCCTAAGATTTATAGTATCTGTTTTGCCAAACTGAAAGGCAATAGCCATAGCTACACAATGCAGTTCTTAACATCCAGTTGTGTTTCAAATGGAAAATGAGAGCCTGCCAACAAACTCAAAATATTAAATTACTCCAGTGACTTCCACTGCACAATTTCTCAAATGTTTACATACACCGTGCATATTAAAATGTCCTGTAAATTACTTTATGTATTTTCTGTGCTTTTGTCTTTATGGCATATATGCATGTTTACATATACACATATGAATGTGTGCTAATATATTAAAAGCTTAAATATAATCTGACAATGCTCTGTAATAATGCTCAAAAGCATGCTACTGAAGGAGACCTGTTTTCTTTGAAAACAGCCTGTCACCCAAACTGTATCAGTAATCAGAAGGAACACATAATGATAAATCGCTTTGAGAGTTTTGGTATAGTGGACTTTCTTTGTATTCTGACATCATCAATGCCACAGTGACTGAAAGAATGTATTATGATGTGACACAGTTCAACATGAATGGAGGTTTCCAATACACTCTATTCTCTTGATCTCTACTCCTTCATTAAGGCTACGTCTACATTGGCAAGATTTTGCGCAGATACTCTTTAGCGCAAGAGTTTTTGCATTAGAGTATTTGTGTAAGAGAGCATCTACACTGGTGTGTGTCTTTGCGCAAGGGATGTGCTTCTGTGCAAGAGCATTCATACCAGTGTAGACGCTCTCCTGTGCACGAAAGCTCCGATGGCCATTTCAACCATCAGGCTTTCTTGCGCAAGAAATTCATGTTTCCTGTCTACACTGGCCTCTTGCGCAAGAGGGCTTATTCCTGAGTGGGAGCATCATAGTTCTTGTGCAAGAAGCCCTGATTTCACACACTAGAACATCAGTGTTCTTGTGCAAGAACTTCCCGCCAGTGTAGACAGGCAGCAAGGTTTTGCACAAAAGCAACTGCTTTTGCGCAAAATCATGCCAATGTAGACACAGCCCCGGATTTCTTATGATCACCTTCCCCTTCCCAGGAAAGCTGGTCTGTGGGGCTACACGCTCTTCATTTGCATAAATAGGGCTGCCACTTTTTTCCGGCTCGGGGCTTTGCCAAAGAAAAGCGCCAGTCTAGACGGGAACTTTCGGAAAGGTCCCTTATTCCTCTTAAAATCAGGAATAAGGGACCTTTCAGAAAAGGGTTTATTTTCCGAAAGATCCCGTCTAGACTGGCGCTTTTCTCCGGCAAAGCCCCGAGCCGGAAAAAAGAGGCAGCCATATTTATACAAATGAAGCGGGGGATATTTAAATCCCCCGCTTCATTTGCAATTCCGACTTGTCTCATCTGCATCCTTTTCTGGAACTGCCCTTGTGTTCATGTTAGCTCCAATAAAGCTATGGCAAGGAGGGCTGTACAAACCCACTTGGAACAATGGGTACGACTTGTATTTCTATTTTAGCCATGCTAGCTAAAAAATCCCTCTTATGCCTCTGATCCCCTATCACCTAATTTTATTTCTAAGCCTTTCCCTTCTCTGCAAAATTCTTGGAAAAGGAGCTCTCAGTCATTTCTCTCTAAATGCCTTTCACACAGCAGCCTACTGGGTTGTATTCTAGCCATGGGACATACATTATTTCCTTTCACATTGTTAATGGCCTTAATCCTTCTGGTGAAGACTCTTCCTCCTTTTGTCTCAGCACATTTTTTAACACTTTGGACCATCACCTCTCCCTCTTGAATAGCTATGGAAAGGTTTCTTTCATCTATTCTAAACCCTACCTGACTTTTCCAGATGCTGATCCCATCTCTCCACTATACAACTGTTTTCTATGAGTCCTACAACGTTCAGCTCTCAACCCCCTCTAACTCCTCACTCAACTACCCTCATTTATAATTTTACTATTTTTTACACATATCATTTCCATTTCTGTTCTCTTTGATTGTCACCTACATGCCTCATACACAACTGCTTTTCCAGGACGAATGGCCTACCTATTCCTTTGCCATCATCCCTGAGCCAATTTTTTCTCACGTACTCTATGGCTGCAGCTCTATCTTTTGCTCTCTTTGCAACATTAATAGAGTACACCAATGTTTGAAATCCATTTGTGCCCTCATTTCCCCTTACTTCTATTATCACAGCTCCCTTCTCTGGGGCCTCCACAATTGCCACCTGTACCCACATATACAGACTTCTCTCATACCTTCAATGGTCCTGTTTTAATCAGTCCACTGGAACCGCTTTCATTTCAAACACCACTTCAGTGTTGTCCTCCTTGTTTTAACTTAAATGTATTCCTGCCTGCCTTGCTAATGTTGTTTCTGTTTGTCACTCCAGTGATCTAGCATAGGCCTCCATTCTGTTTTTTCTAGGGTTGCCAGATGGTTTAACAAAAAAACCCAAGCACCTTCTCCTCCCCCCCCCCTCCCCCCCAAAAAAAATAAAATAAAATAACACAGAGAAAAATTCTGTTGAGGAAAAAAAAGGGGGAGGGAGACCAAAGTTGTTAAGCAAAAGTTGCACCACTCCCTCCAATTTGGGGCTACACACTAACCCCCAATGCACCTCCCCCCCCGAGCCAGGCCCCCCTAGTGCCCCTCCCATCCCAATGCAACAGGGGAAAATTGTCCCCGCCGGGCTTCCGTCCCAGGGAAACAGGAAATAGTCCGGTATTTCCTGTTTTGTTTTGTTTTTACCAGATGGAGCCCGCAAATACGGGACTGTCTGGGTGAAAACCGGACACCTCGCAACCCTAGTTCTTTCACATGGTCTTGTCTCTGTTTCTTCAAGATATTCTTCACATGTAGCTCCTACAATCTGGAAGAGCTTTGCTGTATGGCCTTTGTCGCATTTCAAATCTCATCTAAAAACTGTTTTCCCTTGCTGCCCATCTGACTGTCTTCATTTTAGCATAGTGGGATACAATTTCATGAAGACACGATACAAAATCAAACTTTACTGTTTAGAATTATGCAAACAAAGATTTCTGCTAGAATATTCTGAAATTTCCTCAAGACACAACAAACATTTTTATGAGGAAACACACTCAGGTTGCATGCTAACATTGCCCTAATTCATTCAAGGTAAGCTGCCATTCAAAACTTGGATCATCAATTATCTCTAATTTACGCTCCGCAGCCTGCCAAAGACTCAATAAGGGCAATTATCTTCAAAATGTGAGGTGATGAAGCAGTATAAAAGGTTTATAAAAACAGAAACCACCACAATTATCACCCCAATCCATGTAGGAAAAAATCAGGGAACATTTATAATGCTGATATAAAATAAAACACAATACAGTGTAGGCGAAGGGGGGAAATCTAAAATGTAGGTCACCTGCACTTTCTCTAAAGGAAGATGAAATAAAATAACCTCTGAGACCTCGTCCATAGTCAGTAAGATACTTTTTCTCTAAGCACATCTGACTGCTGCCAAAATCAATTGCTTCTTGCTTCATGCTTTTGCAGTCTCATAGGTTACAGTACCTACTGTTATTCTTGAGTTATTGGTCTGTCTAAAAATACAATTTCTAAATTCCAAATTCCTCTGGGTCTTTACACACATTTAGATGTAAACACAGGTAATTTTGTATTTTTCCAGTTCTGTCCATCTTTTACTTGCAACCGGTGAAGTAAGGTAAAGATCATAATGCTCAGGTTTGTTTACCTCTAAGATTTGGTCATGGTTAGACATCAAAAAACACAAACAGCCACAGTGTCACTTGATCAGATTTTCAGCATAATATACTATGAATCTTCTCACAAGCTGTCCATAGTAGTTGCCACTTTCCACTTTTATACACTTAGGCTGTGTCTAGACTGGCCAGTTTTTCTGGAAAATCAGCAGCTTTTCCGGAAAAACCTGCCAGCTGTCTACACTGGCTGCTTGAATTTCCGGAAAAGCACTGACATTCTCATGTAAGATTGTCAGTGCTTTTCTGGAAATACTATGTTGCTCCCGTTCGGGCAAAAGTCTTTTTCCAAAAGACTTTTGCGCAAAAGGGCCAGTGTAGACAGCACAGTACTGTACTGTTCGGGGCTTTTTTTGCGGAAAACCACGTCTAGATTGGCCACGGACGCTTTTCCGCAAAAAGTGCTTTTGCGGAAAAGCATCCTGCCAATCTAGACGTGCTTTTCCGAAAATGCTTTTAACGGAAAACTTTTCCGTTAAAAGCATTTTCGGAAAATCATGATTCGGAAACTCATGCCTTAGGCTACGTCTACACTGCAGGCTTCTTGCACAAGGATTGTTTTGCGGAAGAGTTCTTGTGCAAAAGGTTTTCTACAAGAGTGCTTCCACACTGCCATGTGCTTTTGTGGAAGAGATGTGCTTTTGTGCAAGCGCGTCCATGGCAGTGTGGACACTCTCTTGTGCAAGAAAGCTCTGATAGCCATTTTAGCCACATGGCTTTCTTGCACAAGAAACCCCTGTTGACTGTCTATACTGCCTTCTTGTGGAAGAGCTCTTGCGCAAGAGGGTTTATTCCTCGTGAGGAGAGGAATAACTCTTCCGCAAGAAGCCCTGTTCCGACGCTTTACTGTAAATTTACTTGCTCAAGAACGCACCTTCAGTGTAGATGTAGTCAAAGGCTACGTCTAGACTGCCCACTCTTGCACAAGAAAATATGCAAATGAGGCGAAGCAGTAAATATCACAGTGCCTCATTTGCATCCTTAATGAGCCACCATTTTTGCAGAAGGGGCTTTTGCGGAAAAAGGATCCGTTTACATGGCTCCTTTTTGCGCAAACCCCCCTCTTGAGCAAGAGCCGTTCTTCCTAAAAAAAAGCGGCAGAACGGCTCTTGCACAAGAGGGGGTTTTTGCACAAAAAGGAGCCTTTAGATGGCTCCCTTTTGCACAAAAGCCCCTTGAGCAAAATGGTGGCTCATTAAGTATGCAAGTGAGGCATGGCAATAGTCACCGCTTTGTCTCATTTGCATATTTTCTTGCGCAAGAGGAGGCAGTCTAGACGGAACCTAAAGGTACACCTCCCTCTTTCATTCCCTTTTTCAAAAAGGCTTTTCGTTAGTGCTTTCAAAATACCCTAAGAGCCCCATGCACATACAAACACACAGCTCTATACAAGTACTGGCATGAAATCATTGAGCTGGAAGAGTACGATATATAATGGTATGTTAAAGGACACAACAAGCATTTCACTTTGCTTCTGTCTCCTGTGCTGCTTCTACCACATGCACGTCTTTTAGAACTGAAGTAAGGAGAATAAAGTGGGCCTGGAAACAAATTGCTCCAGTTTGAAAAGTCTGCATATTGTAGTACTATTGAAAATGCAGATTTGCATTTAATTCATTTCACCATCTTGTACTGAAAACTATTGTATGGTATTGGTATATGTTGTACTGTCTGTCCAGCAACAAAATACATATCATCTCTCTCCAGCAATTGTTATCAAGAGCTGAAAATATAACTCTCCTTGTCCCTTCTACTC